AACTACTCCCCCATTTTTGTTACAAAATTTCTACCTTTACAATTGTGACAGTCACAGTTAGTCATGATAACAATTACTTAGTATTGAATCATAAGAATCTTATTCCCATGTCTTTTAACCAGATCCATAGGCAAGATAATGGTATATTTTCTTGTAGCCACTCACAAATTACTGATATTCGTGTTGTTGCGAGATTGGATGATTGTATATGTTATAGTACTTACCAGAGTTGCCCTTTGTTCCTGCATATGTCTCAGTGTCTTCCTTTGCCTTCATCACATTTTACTGACTTCCCCACTAGAATTAACACGTCTGCTATCTAGTGATTCTCCTTCCTTCTCTCTCCTATCAAAGAGTTTCTTTGTGTAAACCCAATCTCAGTTTTTTGTAATAGTCTCATACAATATTTGTCCTTTTGTGATTATTTCACTCAGCATAATGTCCTCCAGATTCACCCATTTGTAAGCTATTTCATGAATTCATCATTATTATGTATCATTGTGTAGTATTCCATTGTATGTGTGTACCAGTTTGTTTACCCATTCATCTATTGATAGACATTTAGATTTTTGTTCCTACAAATAATGCCACATTGAACATGCATATGTCTATTTGTTACAGCTCTTATTTCTCTAGGGTATGTACCTAGGAGTGGAAATGCTAGAGCACATGGTATTCCTGTTTTTAATTTTTTAAGGATGTACCATACTGTTTTCCATAATGGTTGCAACATTTTATTAATTGTAGGGTCACTATGAGTCGGAACCGACTTCACGGCACGTAACCACCACCACCACCACCACCACCAGCAGCTATATATATATGGAGTCCTGGTGTGGCTCTGTGAGTTAATGTGCTGGACTGCAAGGTCAGTTTGAACCACAAGGTGGCGATTCAAGCTCACAAGTCTGTCCTCGGAAACCCTATACAGTGTTGCTATGAGTAGGACCGGACTTAACAATAACCAGCTGTATATAAGACTTCCAGTTTCCCCACAACCTCACCGTTATTGCCAGGGTGAGATGGTATCTCATTGTAGTTTTGATTTGCATCTCTAATGGCTAATGACTGTGATCATCTCTTCAAGTGTTTGTTAGCCACCTGAATGTCTTCTTAGGTAAAGTGCCTGTTCATGTTCTTTGTCCAATTTTGGATTTTATTGTTGCCTTTTTGGTTTTGAGATATTTCTGTTTTCTATAAATTTTGGTGACTAGTCCCTTGTCATTACCAAAAATTTTTTTCCGGTCTGTAGTTTTCTTTTGATTAAATCTTTGGGTGAGCATAAGTATTTTATTTTTAGTAAGTCCCAGTCATAAATCCTCTACAGGATCATTATGAGTCAGAATCAATTCGACAGCACTTGACAACAACAAAAGTTATCTAATTTATCTGCTGTGTGTGTGTTTGTTTTAGGAGCTCTGGTAGCGTAGTGGTTACAAATCGGGCTGCTAACCTCAAGGTCGGCAGTTCAAAACTACCAATGGTTCCGTGGGAGAAAGATAAGGCGGTCTACTCCCATAAAGATTTACAGCCTCAGAAACCCTATGTAGGGTCACTATGAGTCAGAACCAACTCCACGGTACTTAACAACAACAACAGCATAGACAAGATGAAAACTATTCAGTGGGAACTCTTTCTTTTCCCGCACACTCTCAAACTAAACTCCCCCTTGAAACCTTGTAAGCCAGTCACTTCGTGCCTTTATCAGCCCCTTCATTTTAGGTAGCCAGTGTCTAAGTTGCCCGTCCCTATCTACCCTGTGTACAGAGGGGATAGCATCAATACTTGATATGAAGGCTCCTTCCCTCATTGTTAGTATTTAGTGTCACTAACTGATGAGGACAAGGAGCTCTGGTAGCGTAGTGGTTACGAATCGGGCTGCGAACCTAAAGGTCAGTGGTTCGAAACTACCAGCTGCTCCGCGGGAGAAAGATGAGGCTTTCTACTCCCGTAAGGATTTACACCCTCGGAAACCCTG